GAAGGAAAACATGGATATTTTCAGTTCTGTTGTCAGGGGTAAGAACAGACTCTAAAGCCAAACTCTGAACCCATTTGTGGTCTGAGCTGTCCAAGAAGACCCCTGGGAGGTGCTGGGGAATTATTATCTTTCCATCCCAGAGGTGAACAAAGACCCAAAAAAAGGGGGTGGAGAGGGAAAATGCCCTTTCTTTGGTTGCTGAGCAAGGGGAATGGCCAGGAGGCTTTGGAAGAACTGAGGTTTCTGGCAGGTGGGGTCTCAGTCCTTGGGGCTCATCTGCAGAAATTCAGGGTGGTGGGAACTGCAGGCACCACCTGTGGGCTACAACAAACACCTGAGGAGATGGAAACAAAACTGCAGGAGAGTTCTGTCAGAGAGGCATTGGCATTGACAGCAAGAGTGTTTTTACTTCAAAGAGTCTTTCCATAAGGAGACTTTTTATCTTTTACACCAGCAGATTCACTGTCCAAATCTAAAGGAGGAATTTGAGACTCGGGAAAAAAAGTCTGTATTTTCTAAAATTAAAAAAGGTTTAAGCTAGAACCATTTCAATGGCTTTTGCTGAGTGTGCATAAATGATCACAGAACTTCAGTTGGATTCCATATGTACAAATATGAGCAAATTCTACAATTATTTCTTTGGTCAAAGTTACCTCGTGCTCCATTTCAGCTTCAGGAACCCTATTTTGGGTGTGTCCATTCCTAAGATTCCCCTAGAAAGAGTTATGGGATGGGAAGGAAATATTTGATTGGAATTCAGCTGTTAAAAATCTTCTTGATGTAATCACAGAGCACAGTCCACTCTCACACACTGCTACAAAGATCATACAAACATCTGGCCAGCATTTAAAAGTAATTTTTCTATTAATGGTTTTATTTCTTCTCCAACTTCTCCCAGTGCAGAAGCCCAGGTCAAACCTGTCACCCCCACATTGCTGCAGTTATTAAAAGAAATAACACCTTTTCCTCAGTTTCTGCTCTCAGCTGTTCCTTAAGGCCTGACAGTTCACTCTTCAAACGTGACAGTTCACTCTCCTGTAAACAGGGAGATAGATAAAGGGCAGGGAAGGAAGAAAACAGGTCAAAATGAGACAGGAATTAACAGGGGCACTCCTTAGAAACAAAGGGAAAATCCATTTACTTTGCAACCCTGTGGTGGAACTTCTGGTTTAGTTTGTTTTAAATAAAAACCTGAAGTACTGTAAGAACCAGAAGGGTTCAAGGTAAGAAGTTAAAACACTTTATCCAACTCTTTGATACTAAAGTTTCTCAGGTACCGAGGTCACAACACGATGCATGTTTATTTTCTGGAGAAGTAGACAGAAACCAACTGCTACTTCCAACCTATTTTTAGAAACGTTTGGGTTTTTTAATGTACATAGTAAGATGTCTAAGAAAATAAAAGCAAGCAGAAATGAGGGGGTTGATCCTTACTGTTCAGTCCCACTAAAGTAGACACTGAAGTATTAAATAGGAAAAGTAAAATATGGTATTTATTGTATTACACTTGGATGGCACCGGCCCCTCCACTGCATTATTCAGGGTTGAAAAGCGCTCCTTACCAGTGATCTTTCTGATGACAACTGCTCCTGCTGCTTCAGTTTACACAGTTTTAACTCTGCATCTTTCTCTTCAACCATTTTGTCATATTCATGCTGTTAAAAAAAAAACAAAAACAAACCCCCAAACCAACAACACACTCGAAAATATGGGACTAAATGTTACAATTATGGATAGAGAAAAAAAGAAAATCCTAGAACTTCAGATAAATGGAATCTGTCTGCCCAGAGGCAGGTTCTCAAAATGTGAAGATGAATTTATTTTCAGATGATGAAAAGCTAAAGCTAAGTACGTGTTCGACTCCACCTTCCTAGATTCAGGTCTTTTTTTATGAAGTTGCACTTTCTAACTCACAAAATGCTGGTTTTGAAAGGTTCTTGCTCCTCATGGCATCACAGATGACAAATCACAGCAATCAGTAAAAATCTCTCACCTTGTGTTTTTCCATCAGTGCCACCATTTCCTTTATCTTGTGCTGACACCTGATATCAGTTTCTCTCTGGATCATCGTTGCCTCATCATAAAGCAACTTCAACTTTTCTACCTGTCAGTCATAAATTTCATTTTAATTCACTAACAATTAACAGTAAGATGTGGTTTTTAAAAATCATTTCTTCTTCCCCACCCCCCCGTGGGTGCAAAGTAATTACAGTTTCATTCAGGCTTCATTTGCCTTTAAGAAGCTGGCCAGTAAAGCTCCACAAAACCATCGTGCATCCCCCCAAAAAAATTCAAATTGCAGGAAAAAATTAGGATCTCTCACCTCTTCGTGAAGTTTGTTTTCATTTACTTTTTTTGTTTCGATCTCCTTTTGGTAGCTGTCAACTGTTTCCTTATGTTGCTTGTTCTTGTTTTCCAGCTCTAACTGCAATTTATTCACCTTTTGAGAGTGCAGAATTGTTGTTATTTGTTCAATAATTAATATGCCAATGATTTTTTTTTTTTTTTTACCTCTGATTTTTGAGCAGAAACACTCTGTTACTTTTCAGGTATGTGATTGAACTGTTTCCTATTTAAAGTTCAGCTTTTTTTTTTCCTAAAGAATTAAACTCTGGCCTGAAGTGAGTTAGAAAATGCTCACAGAAAGAATGGCAAGAGCCACAAGGGGAAAGACAACCCTAAGCAGCCCCCCCCAAAATGCTGCGTCTTCCTTGGAAAAAAAATATAGATTGGAGATTTTATTCCCTCCTTTGTAAATCTATCTCAGATTTTCCCAGTTGCACGGAGTGTGCATTTTGATTGCAGTTTTTCAAGTTTTTCAGGAGAATCTCCTCAAAAAAGTCCACTTCTTTCTTGAAGCGTGGCACCCAAATAATGTATGTGTTTCGCTTAATTTTAATTTAATTCTTTTCTATTTCAGTGGGATTACTGAATACTCTTCAGTACATTATCAACCAAAACAAGAAAGGGACTGATACATTTTTAAATGTCTCATAGCCCAGTCAGAGCTCAGTGATTAAAAACAGAAATGCCTTCCAAAAATTATGGGCCCATTCCTGCCAAATCTGTATCCCAGATCCATAAATCACTCCAGAATGTATTTAAAAAATGTCATCATTATTTCCCCCGGGACTCAAAACACTCACCTCATCTTCTACATGATGTTATTTGAACATACCTTTCCTTCATAAATGCTGCTTTTCTTGCTTTCTGCAGTTATTTTCTTTTTCAGCCCCTTATTCTGTTGAAATAAAGCAAAACAGAACCACTGCACTTTAAAAAGTGGATAAAATTGTGTAATGGTGAGAATCTTAAATAAACTCCAGCTTTCAGCCAGCAAACAACTCTCTGTTGTGCAGTTCAGGTCCTGGAAAAATTCTCAAAACCAAAGGAATGCTCCAGTAATTCCTGGGATAATCCTGTTCCTTCAAGGCCTTGGGAAAGGCTCCTCCTGGGCATGGGAATTCAAACTAAGGGGCTGCTGACAAAAAAAATGAAAGTTCTGTTTTCTTGCAGTGAAGTTATGAACAACTTGTGCTGCTGCCAGTTCTTTTCTACTAATGGTAACTGTGATAGGGCTTTATTACAGGTCCATAAATAATACCATATATTAAATGGAAAAAAGTGTTTATTATAGGTATTATTTCTGTAAATGCTATTTTTAAATGAAGGATAATTTCACAAATCAAGAAATTTCAAAGGTGACTCCTTAATCTGCTCAGAGTCAGGATAAGAAAGGAAATTATCAACTACACAGGTGTGTCTGAAGATTTCACAGCAGACAAAACCCGTTGAAAAGTCCCCACAAAATACCATCTCTTCTGTGTTTGTGCCTTTTAAAAACTATACACACCTCCTGCTGCAACTCCTCAATGCATTTGGTTTTATTTTCCACCAGTTTCTTTAAATTATTCACCTGAAAGAGATTTCAAACACGAGTGAATGAGTCCTGCCAGTGCCTTCCTGTGCCAGAGGTTACTGTCATGCATCTGCACCAGTTTAAAGAGAAAAAAGAAGGGGAAAAAAATAGGAGCTTCCCAGTTTAAAAACCAATCTTGTGTCGAGTTCCCTACAATCCATGAAAAAAATGAGTTTTCCTCGTTATTTCCTACAATCTTCAACTGCTCTGCCTTTCTGGAAATTCCATTTTCAACAGTAACTGGGATTACAATAGTAAATTTTTGGTTTTTACATTGAAATTCTGAAATCCCTAATGCTGAAAAAACCAGGTGTGCTTTGAAACTGGGGCAAGAAAGTAAAAAATATTGGAATCTGTTTAAGCTGGAACTCCCATTGTATATTGAAAGCTAATCCAGATCCCACCCATGGCTCGGCGGGGATATGGAAATAAAGGAGAGGAGGTTCCCTGTTTGCCTGGAAATCCAACAAATCTCCAATTTTCAGCCTCCCAGCAAAGAGGGAACCCCCCCAGGGAAGGTCCCTGTCCTTTAAAACAAAAAAATGCTGAGCCTGTTGAGTCATCTGGAGCAGCCCAGCAGAGATCCCAGCCCGGGGCAGGCCTTGGCAGAGAGAAACCCCCCCGAGCATTTTCCCTCTCCCACGGGTGGTGGTGGCTGTTCCCACGTGGGGCACGCACGTTCTCGTCTCTCTCATCCAGTTTACTCTCGATCTCTTCCCCTGCCTTGGCCATTTTCTCCTTCAGAGACTCCAGTTCGTTCCTGAAGGCCAAAGGAACAAATATCAATAAACATTTCAGATTTCCTAAGGAGCTCTTTGCTGCTTAATCTTTATTAAGAAATCGAACTTCTTTTCATTAAAGACAGATTTTATTTTCTAAAAAGAGCTGCTGATATTGATGGGAATTTCATGAGCTGTTCAATGACAATGTTTTTAAAAAGAAGCAAAGTGTCTGGTGAGTTAATGTGTGACCTGACAATACTTTTCGTAAGGTATGGAAAAACGTTCCCCTCACCTAAGGAAAATACATCCTAACCCTCAGAGTAACTATGACAGAATTGAGTCTAAAATTCCTTTAATAATATCAGATATTAAGATCTGCTCTCACGTGCCTCAGCTGGCCATTTGCCTCCTCTAGGTTTTCAACCAACTGCTTTGCATTTTCTTCTTTCTTCTTACTCTCCTAAATAAAGACTCGTGTAAATTCAGGGTGACATCTTAAAAAGGCACCCAAAGCATGTTGAGCTGCCTCATTCACAGGGGTAACTTGTATTTCAGACACAAAAAATAGTTCAGATACTCTACAGAACCATAACATGTTGCAGTTTACTGTCTGATTTGTACTTTAAATGGAGTGTTGTCACCTAAAACCAGGTGGAAGTCTCCAACTTGCCTTGTGACTTTCTTGCAGGTCCTTGAGTTCTGCAGCCACACTGCTTTTCTCTTGTGCTATTTGTTCTTTCTCCAGTGAAAGCTGATTGATGCACGCTGTCAGTTGTTCGTTCTTTAACCTAATTTAAAACAAATAGCCAAGAGAAGTAAGAATATGCATTTTGAAATTCCCTTTGAAGTTAAATTCGTCCATTATCAAGGGTTACTTCAGGCCTTTATCTAGAAATTTAAGGTTTGCAGCAAAGCCATAGTGATGCAAAAAGGCAACAGAAGAAGGAAAGAAAATTTCTATGTAAATAGAGCCAACTTTTACATAAATATAATGGCTGGTGAAGATGATGTAGATCAAAGCAGGACTAACAATGAATTCAGGAGCTTTCTCTTCATGTGAACACAACCAGGTCACAGAGATGTAGAAATAGAGAAAATGTAATTCATAAATACAAGTACATAATGAATGTCCCGCTGTGTCATTCAAAATTTTCATTAGAAAACAATCACAGATCATTCACTGTGTGGTAAAATAACTTCTGTGCAAAACACACACAAAAAAATTGAATATTATGTTTTCAGAAATGGTCCTACATCTCTTGTTCAAGGTCTGTTTTCAGAGTGGAGAGCTGGTTCAAATAATCTCGCTCCTTTTCAGCTGTCCCGGTCAGCTGGACTTTCAAATCGTGGATTTCGTTCTGCAAAAAGAAGAGTTTTGCGTTTACACCAAAAAAAAAAAAAACCCTACAACTTTTGAAAGTTGTGAGGTGATCTGAGAGCAGGGAGATTTCACCACACATTATCCACACCACATCTTCACATCTCTCTGGTGGAGTGAGACAGTGAATTCTGATGTGAGTCTAATTAACCAGCTGCAAAATTACTGACTAAATCAGTTTTCTTGGACATGATTTTAAATAAAGGCACTCACTTCAGACATCATCAGCTTCTGCGTTCACCTGAACAAAAAAAAAGACTAAAAATAAACCCCAGAATTCCAGTTGTATGTGAGAGAAAAGCAACTGGCAGGGATGTGTCCTTATCCCTGATACAGATCCTGTGGGAAGGGAGCAGAGGCTCCTCCAGGACATCTCCTGCTGCCACTGCCACCAGCAGAGCAGCTCAGGGTGGGCACTGCCCTCACTCGATGCCCTTTCTGATGTTCTTGTACATAAATTATAACATGTAACTTAATTATTTATGAAAACATGTAACTACTGCCCTTTCACCAGACCTCTCTCATCTGGAGAAGATTTTTTGTTTCTTCTTCTCTCTTCTGCAAACTTTCCACGGCGGCTTCCAGATCCTCCTTCTTCAGCAGACGTCCTTCCATTTTCCCCTGGTTCAGAACATCAGAAAATTCAATGCACAGGTTATAAAGAACAAACTGACAGTGGTAAAATGCACACCTGGTTTCACACTGACATTTTACCCAATGACCTCCCTAAAAAGTGAGACAAAAATTGGGAAATCTCTGTGTCCAGAGGGAGTGGCATTTCAATAGGTGTGAATGGAGAAGGAAATAACTGGAAACCTTAACGAGGAAAACCAAAACAAAGCAGAAACGGGACAAGAAAATCAGTGGAAAGAATCAAGTCCTTCAAAGGAACCACTGAAATTGTGTGTTTACCAGAAACATTAAGGCAGAATAAACAGTGTTTAGATATGGCACTTAAGATACTTATAAAGCAAGAGAAATTTCATGTGAGAAGTAAATGCCACGAGACAAATAAAATGAACATTTACCAGCGTTTCTGACAGCTCTTCAAGTTGCATTTCTTTGTCACATTTTAGCTTGGTCATCTCTTCTACAGCACATGCAATGCAAAATTAGTGGAACAGAAAGAGTTTTTCACATTTAGCAGGCAACAGAAAACAATTATCCCTTTGCAACGCCCAATTTTCAAAACTTGTTGGACTAAGGTCATAAACTGCAAAGCTAACTTATGACTTAATCTAAATGCAGAAAAATGATTAAGAAAGACACTAGTAAATATATATATAAAGAGGAATTAATCATTTATCTGATGTAAAATTCAGAGCCTGGTCTTACTACTGTGGTTTGGCTGTTCCCAGTTAGTGACCACCAAAGGAGAGGGAGGCAGGTGAGTAAAAATAAATGGAAGTATCCCTGTGTAAAATCATTTCTCCAAGCAACAGAGACAGTCCATTGCCAGAAAACAGCAGAAAAAAAGCATTTCCTGCCTTTCTACAACTCTTACCCAGTTCAGCAGATTTATTTCTGAGCTCCAAGGCGAGCAGCTTCGACTCGTCTTCGTATTTCTCTGATCTAAGAAAAAGGCAATTAAAAAAAAAATCCCCAAATGTATAAACAAAACACTTCATTCAAAACTTGAAGGGCAATAAGACCAAGTCTTAGCACAAGAACCTCAAGAACATTGGCCCTTCAACTGGCAGATGGTTTATCTGCCTGCAACACGTACCAAGTTTCCCTTTCACAACTTCAGAACAACAGACATAAAAGTAAATAAATATTTACATGCAGAAATCTGTATTTCTTAAAGACAGAATTATGAGGAGGGGGGGAAAATGTACTTTTTTAATAGACCAGTATCAACCAGCACAACTGAAAAAAAATCCCATTAAAGCCTCTGCATTTGGACAACTGTGACAAAAAAACCCTCTGAATTTCAGCTCCACGTCTGATTGTTCTTGATTTTGCGACAAACTGTAACCTACAAGACCATTCTTTGAACTTCAAAACTTTTCAGTTTACCTATTTTGCTCTTTTTGCAGCGAGCTTTTCAAACTGGCAATGGAAGCCTCAAACTCTGCTGTCAGGGCTGCATGCAAGGCCTTGGTTTTTTTACATTCTTCTTCCTGTGCCTCCTTTTCTTCGGTGACCTGAATTAATGTTTTCACCGTGGTCTGGAATTCGTTCTCTAAGCTCTTTTGAGTAACCTTCAAAAAATCATATAACTTCTAAACGTGCTTTGCAACAAAGAGCTACAGCTGTTTCACACCTAAAGTGTCAGTAATTATTTGTGCAATCACTCATTTAATCTCTTTCTGCTGGAAAACCATCAGCAAGCTGTACCTCTGCCTTCTGCAATGAAGTTTTGGTCTCCTCCAGCTCTGCCCTCAAACGTTCTTGATTGGCCTGGGATTCCTCGAACATTTCTCCTTCAATGCAAAAAGATGAATGCTTAAATTTAGGAAAAATAGGGTATTTACTAAAAAAAGGTGCTGAAAACGTAAAATGACACATACTCATCTGGCATCATATACTACAAATATTTTGAAAATAAATGGCTTAAAAATATCGAAAATCAAGTTCTGGAAAAGAAAGTTTCCTCCTCAGTGGCACCTGCCTGACTGTAAATGTGCAAAACCCAAGCAATGTATTTTCCCCCTTGCAATCTTCAAAAGCCCTCACTGCTTGACTGGCCCTAAAAACCAGTTCTGATCCCACAGCAGCAGTTTCTGTTCCAAACAAAACTAAGGCCTGCAAGGCCCCAAAATTCTGCTGCTGATTAATAACAGAGTGAAATTATCATGATCTTGTTTCTCACACTGCCACAAACAATCACAGATTACCACAGCAGGGGGAACTCTTACTTTTTTCTTCTATTAAGCCAGCAATCTGATTTTGTGATTCCTGCAGCTGAGCCTGGATGTCTCTTATCACATCATCTTTTTCATCACTCTGGGTGATAAGAGCTGAAATCTGGCAAAATTAAAATGATATCATGAGGAATTCTAGAAAAAGAAGAGAGTGCCACTTCCATTTGTGCCCCAGGAGCGACGAGCAGACCTGCTGTGACTCCAGTACGGGGAAGGTGCTTGGTCTTTGCCAAATATCCCTCAAGCCACGAATGAAAAAGTTCTCCAAAATCAAACCAAGAATTCTAATCAGCCAAAGGGACTGGAACATCATTCAGCAGGATGTGACCGAGGTGCAGCTCCAGCTGTTATTTTTGGTTTTTTTTTAGCAATGCCCAGGAACTCCTCAGGCCTTGCACTGCCCCTTTATTCATGAATAAAGCTGTTAATATTAGATTGTAAAAGTGAGCAAACCTGCTCTGCCTTCTGGCTGACTTCCAGCTTGCATTCTCTTTTGAACTTGTCCATTTTTTCTGCTTCTTCTTTTACTTTGGAGATACAGATACATCCATAGTTAACATTCCAGCTGAAAGATACTCCAAGTTCAATGCAATTTTCCAGCTTAAGATTGCTTGCCATTGTACAGTTTGCTTCCTAAAGAGCAATTGTTGACACAATGCTTGATTTTTTTCCTGCCAGCTTTCCACAGAATTGGTCCATTATTCCGTGTTTCTGACAGGAAACTGCCAGGAACACCCATGTAAAGATTAAACAGGCACATAGTAACCTATATAAAACAAGTATTTAATGAAGTTCCTGCAGCTCAACACTAGGGCATTATCAGTTAAATACCAACTACATAAAATAAGTAGTGATCTGCAGATTCTTCGCAGAGAAACCTTGGGCTTTGAGTGGCTATTTCAAAAATAAAGTTC